TTTTTAATTCAATTTTTTAAGATGCAAATATTTTTCTAAATATCATTTATGTCATAATAATGCTAGGCCAAAAATAAGCTATTTTGAAAATTTATTAAGTAATATTTTTTAAGCAACAATACTAAATAATATTTTGTTTTTAATGACAAGATATAATAGTTTCTTAAAAATATATTTTTTGTTATTATTTTTTGTTACACCTACTAAATGATTTTTATGCTATGTATTCCTAGTTTTTTGCAGGCCAATTTTGTATACATTTTTTTTAAATATTGTTCAAGGATATATTTTCCAAGTGCAAGAAAGGATGACGTTAGGCAGGAGTTCACATGTCGGCACCGCTTCCTTTTTGGGGGCGTCCCGGGGACCTGGGCGATGGCTTTATAGCAATTTAATGTGTTCGTGTTTTTGCGCTTGTTCTTGTATTCTTGTAGCTGTTGTTTCCACTCTTGTGAAAAATGATTTCGCTTTGCTCTCAGCCACAGTAAAGACGCAAAAAAGCATATAAAATACAGGAGAAAAAAAAACGAAGCGAGCAATTTGTCTGGCCTTCTAGGAAAATCATCACATTGGCGGTTGTTCAGTAGGCGGAATCCCTGATTTGGCTTCTCCGAAAGTTAGAGGAATTTCGCGTTCATTTACATACACGCGTGCTATTATATACATCTGGTAATTGGGCTCGCCATTACTTTTTTTGTGGCTCGTAGGCCTTGATTTTTTAAAGGAGGCGTTTCACCACATGTGTGCAATCATTTCTTTATTTTTATACGACCCTAAACGGTTTGGGGATTATCTTGCTACTCGATTTCAAGGGTCTTTAAGGTACATTTAAATGGCTGTTTAATTTTTTAGGTAAAGAGTTTTAGTAAGTGGCTTCCAAAATCTTTTAAATTTTTGAGATAAGTTCCTTTATTTAATACACACATCCGCATTTTGTAAAACTACTTCCTTGTAAATATTTAAACATCATATTATTACTATTTATTTATGAGAATTTATAATACATTAAATTAATAAAGCTATCAAATATTTTTATAAAATTTATTTTATTTAATGTAAATTTATGTTTAATTAAAATATAAAAAACTTTAAATGCAGCTCTAACATAATTGTTTATGGTTTATTTTATTTCATTTAATAGACACAAGCAGCTATTTAATATTTGTATATACTTTATTTTAATGTCCACATTAATTAATATCCTTTGTCACTCTGATTTGGCCTCAATAATTGACAGACAGGTCACATCCGACATCCTAGAATACCACAATATATGTGTACACTGCATGCCACACCCTGGGATATCAATAAACTTTGTGGCGCAGCGCAGCTATTGATTGCGGGTGACATTGAACCTTGACATTGTTGCCTTCGAAAGAGAAGGATTCCCCAGTGCCTGTTCCTGTGGCATATTAATTATGCTGCTGGTCAGCGCTCGTGGCTGGCCATAAATATAAATTAATGACAGCGAGTTCAGTGTCCCCTAAAATTGCTGCAATTATTTGCATTACTTTCTTGAGGGATGGCAGGCAATTATGAAAATTAACTTGTTTGTCCATAGTCCCCCCAAAAAAGAAGAATCTTTTACATATTCATCACCCCCCATGAATATTTTCAGGACCTCGAAAAGTGGGTGGAATCTTGTTTTTCCTCGGCTTTTCCGTGTGGGTCTTGACTTAATCTGCTTGCTTTATTTGTCATGCACGTCCAGGTTGGTGAATTAAATTTGAATTTTCGCCGACTGCCTGCGGGGCAAAAAAAAAGCGGGGAAAGCCAGCACAGCAACAAGACGGAATTTCACAGACTTTTCGCAGCATTTCGCCTTCGCTACCCAGCTTCCCGGCTTTGGCTTAGTCTTTGGATACATTTGATTTAGAATTTTAATCTGACTGCAGTGCGTAGCACGGTGGAAATTATGATAAAAACTGAGCCAACTAAATAACACATTTAAAGATTTTGCATTACATTTATAAACTAATTAAATGAACTTTAAAATGACGATTATATAAAACTTAAACGGCTTAAAGTTAAATAATGCCATTATTACGCCAGAAATCAGTTTTTTAATAAATAAATAAATTGAATGTTATTATTTACCTTGATCGTTGAAAAAAATATTTTATAATTATTTTTATTAAAAATATGGAATGAAGTGTAATGTTATACATTTTAATTAAATAATTAAACTGATAATATTTATCCCATTTGGAAGGTATAGTAACATTTTAGCTCTGAACATGGGCAAACCTTCAATTTTGGTCCTTCAAGCACCCCAAATTGCTCTTACTACACAACTTTTTCCACAGTGCAACCTACTACAGTGAGGCCTGAGTTATTGCCGCCATTTCTTGGGCCTGTCAACGCGGCCATTTGAGAGCCATAGCCATCTCCCAACTTCCATCTCCGATCCCGGGGCCATGTCAATGATTTGCTCGACTGGAATGCAGCATTTATGCTGAGCCATCTATGCAAATCTCTGTCTGCCCCAAGGACTGCTAAACCCATTTGCCATTTGCCATTGTCATCGTCATGGGACAAATGGAATTTTCCCTGTTAACTCTTCCATCTGGTCACCTTTTGCCTGTCGTTGCCTGATTTTTACGCCGTTGACAACCCGTCGAATGCGACTTATTCGCCACACCTTTCAGGTGCAGAAAATCAGGATAAAAAGTCACGCTGTGCGTGTTGGAATGGTCAACAGTTTTATTGTCCGGCAATGGACTCTTGAAACAAATGTTGATTTTCGTACGCAGAAAAAAAGGATTTTTAGAGGTTTTTATTTAAATGGGCCTTAGCATCTGGCGACGACAGTTGAAACTTTATGCCAACGTTCGTTGTTAATGAGTGTCGAGATTGTTTGCTTTTTTAACTTATTCAAGGGCCCTTGAATAGATTATATTATTAATAGCGAAAAGGGGGAAAATAGAGAAAATACGTTTCACAAAAAGAGTGTTTGCATTTGCGGCTAACGTTAAATTGTTTAAACACCTAAGTAAATTAAGTAAATAAATTAGATGAGATCGAAAAATTTATTTTATTTTTTATGTGTTTTGTTTGAAGGTTTTTCAACACAAAATGTACTTTAATAAAACGGTTCAGTAATTTATATGTCCATTATAATGTTCAATCATTGGTATAACTTGGTATATATTATAGAATATAAATATAGAACATACCTACCTACCTACATACCTACATAAAATACTTAAAATATATTGCTTATTTAATTTAATAATTTCATTTAATAATAGCAAATTAAGAACAATTTAAATTTAAATGAAATCAGGCCTTCCTGAATTAATAAATACCCCAAAAAAAAACCCCCAACCTTCTACCTTTCTACCCATTTGATTTAAAGCCGCAATGGGTCTTTAAAATCCGCTGGGCATTGGGAATGGCAATAGCAATAACAATAGCAATTACCCATCGATTTGTTCGATTTGAAGGTGCTCAAGTGCTTAAGCGTCCTTTCACCTTTTTCGGCAATGGCAAAGGCATCCGGCGATTTTGGTCCGTGAATAAACAGCGTTTTGTTTGCATTTGCGTGGCGTTTATTTGTTTGCCCGCTGTTGATGTCTGCTGGTTTTCGGGGCTGTGGATTTTCGGGGGGAGAGAAACGGGATCCTCGAAGGGGTCAGGCCATCCTGCAGACGTGGAGGGTCAAAGTCTCCTGCCGGTCACTGTTCCCAGGTGCGCCAAATAAATAAACGGCTTACTAAAATTACGGGGCTAAGAAAGAAATGAAAATTCGCATAAAATTTTTATTCGCTGTCGAATTTAACGATGTTTTCCCCCTTCGATTCATCTTTGCATTTTTGCAAAATAAAATCCACTGCCCCTCAATTCCTCAAATTAAGTAAAGTGGGTAAAGGGGAATTCCCCTTTTCCATTTAAATTTGCATAAGAGGCATCGGCGGATGCGGATGCGGACGCGGATGAGGATGCGGATGGCTTGCAGTGTAATTGGGCGAAGTGAAATTGCGTTAATATTTAACAAGCGAGCGAAAGTGCAAAAGCGAAGCGCATTAAATGGCGAAAAGGGAAAAGGGATACGGAAACGGAGTCCTTCGGGGCAAAGTGCGAAATTATGCGGAACTCAGGGAGATCCGCAACCCTTTGCTTTTGAAGCCCAATCCTCAAATGTAAGCCATAAGGTCAGACGAATGTGAAAGTGTCAGTGGAAATTTAATTTCACCTTAACGTCGAGCCGTGAAATGAATAGATTATGGACAATTTAGAATTTTATTTCCAAGGTGGGATTTTAAGAATGATTATTGTGAACTTGATTTTAAACGATTTTTATGCTGAACTCAAAAAGGAATTAATAGATTTAAGGAAACATGGATCATTGCATCATTGCATAAATTGCAGTTTAAAGGTCATTATAGACATTAATATTATTTAGTGTTACATAAATACCACATTCTTACGCAACATCTATATATTATTCACAGCGCGTATTAAAGATTACATTTTCGTAGTGTTGTTGCTTTAAGTCAAATGAGTGCCAACCCCACAAAGGCGATTAGTATACGAGTACCAAATTTAATCAGCTAACCTCCAAGTTTGTTTGTTTTGAAAGCAAAGATCACAGAATTTTGATTATTTATACCCTTTAATCGTAGAAAATTCAAAAAGTTTTCGGGCTAAAGACTTAAGCTTACGCATACTTACACAATTTAATATGATAATTAAATACCTAAATGTTATTTACAGAACTAAAAAATTGCAAAGTACCAAAAAATATATGCATATTGAATTCAAAAATTCCTATTGCATACTTAAATTAAATTTAAAAAAAAAAATAATTTTCAATATAGCACATATTTACTTGAATGGTTTCAATAGAAGGAAGAAAATATTAAATATTTAAATTTAGATTACGATTTACTAGGGTATCCCGCTGTCGATAATAAGAAAACTATCGTATCTGGGCAAGGCTTTCCAATAAATATAAATATGCTTTGCCTTTTCCCTTAGTTGACAGTACCAAATCGCGTTCTTAATCGAGCAGTTGTCTATTAATTCCGTAAAAGTTGATAAAGATGGGATTATTTAAGAACATTTTTCCAAGTTCGATTGGACTGCAGACCTACTTGCTTATACTAACTTTTACCCTTAGCGGTGCAAGGGAACGGAAAGTAATCATTAATTGCCAACGTGATGACATAACTTGCCATGCGAATCTCATGAAGTCGACCATGAACTTTAGTGTTTCACCGTGTGACAATTTCTTCGAGTATGCTTGTGGTAATCACCGGAACCTCGAACCGAACCGATACTCCGTTTCAGACAACTTATTCGCGTCGAACTTCGCACTGGATGAGATCACGAAGGATTTAGTCGAAAGGATGGATCTGGCGGAGTCACTAAATGTGTCCAGGGAACTAAGGTTGGCCCAACGATTCTATAATGCCTGCCTAGAAGCTGATCTCCATCACTTTCCTGCCTCTGATCCCAATTACCTGAGGATCATTCGCTCGATCGGTGGTTTTCCCGCCGTCGATGGTGCCGCCTGGAATGCCTCCAATTTCAGCTGGGTGAACATGAGCGCCTATCTCTCTCTTTACGGGGCGAGGGGCCTGTTCGTTGAGGCACCAGTTAATGGAATTAAACCCTATTTGGAGCCGGATAATCTGGGCTTTGACTTCTTCGTTCAATTGGACAACGTTAAGAAGCACTTCTCCCGCGCCCACAAAGTCAACAAGGAGCGCATGCGCGGCTACCTAAGATCCTTTAACCTGAAAGAGGATAAAATCGCAGAGGTGATCGACGGTGTTTTTTTATTCTGGCATGAGGCACTAGTGGCCAGTGAAATAACCAATAATTCCGCCTCTGGGAACTTTGACTTAGACAATTATTATAAGATAGCCTGGAAGACCGAAGAAGGAAACCCATGGGCCACCAGCTACAACTTTTCGGAATTAGACAAGGTGTGTGCCCGGCATCCGGAAGCTGTGGCCAATTACCTCGCCATGCGGCTACTGTACACATTCGACGCCAAACTGAAGGATATTACGTACCAACGGGATTATTGCGCTTCGAGGATACGGACCACCATGCCGGACCTCTTCACCAAACTCTATTATGCGGTAAGCCTCGTTAACCGTTTACAAATATTTTAAAAGTAGTAGGGATGTCGGAAAATATATATTTTTGGAAGAAGCTCTCTAAACCATTTAAATATTGTATGCTTACAGGAGCACTTACCGGATGAAAAAGGGCTGCAAGTGTCTGAGGTCTTTCTGAATATATTCAAAAGCCAGAAAAAGTTTGTGGAGAAAGTCGAATGGTTGGACTCGGATACTCGTCAGAAGTTACTAGAAGAGAAAAATCATGCTCAGTTTAACTTCCACCAAAAAAACGATACCTCACTTGACGATCGTCTGAATCAAGAGATTCTACGCCTAGAAGTGGTCGACGATGATTACCCGCGGACCAATATCAATTGGCAGCGCCTCAAAATCGAGATCGGTAGAATGTCCGAATTTAGCTACATCAATTCGCAGGAGCAGCCATATGGGTTGATGGTGTCACATTCCGGAGATACTCGTAATGCAACACTTTATCTCTTTCCCCTCGCCCTTCATCCACCAGTTTACCTAAATCCTTGGGCGCGCTCCCTGAAATTCGGAACCTTTGGTTTTTGGCTTGGCGCCCTTCTCACGCAATCCGTGTTCATTAGATCGTGGGGAGCAAAACTGGATCCGCTTTATAAGGAGCGTAGCGAGTGCCAAGTGGATCAGTATCACAATAAAAACCTGAGAACGAAGGATCTACGCCATTTGCGACTATTTATCAACAACGGCGGATTGCGGCTGGCATTTCAGGCCCACCATAGCTACAGGGAGCAGCTTCTGCAGGATCAGGATCCTGGCCAGAATATCACCAGTCCAGATGAGATGCCAGGCCTCGATCTGTCGCCGGATCAGCTCTTCTTTCTGGGATACACCCAGATGTTTTGTATCTCCAAAAAGAAGGAGGCCAAGTACTGGGCTCTGGATGCCCTGTCCAACAACGAGGATTTCCACAAAGCCTTCAACTGTCCCGTGGGCAGTGGCATGCGTCCTACGGCCAAAACTTGCGGCCTTTGGTAATCTGTCCTTATTGGCGCCTGTATATATGGAATTTTAGGAACCTGGAATAGAATATAAATTAAATAAGTAAACCAAACAAAAAAACCTCTTAACGAGGCAAAGTGTCGTGACGATCGCATCTGTCTAACAAAAGTTCTGATTTGCCTTTTTGTCACAAATAAAAACACAAACATTTTAAGATCGGGGGGTACATAAATTCAAGCACGTGTGTTCCGAGACTCTTATCGCTTGGGAAAAAAGCTCGAAATAAAACTCATCAGAGACCCGCGGCCCTTTCGTAAGAGTTTTCTTCAATCTGATTTCACATCTGTGTCCCCTCCCCTCCACAACCATAATTATAATAATTTTAAGAACTTCTAAAAAGTTTTCATTTTATTCAATAAAATAAAAATCATTAAAAACACTGTGTTACAAAATTAATCCTTTGTTTATTTATCTTGATGGATGGCTTAAAATCAAATCGCCTTTACCTATACTCAGCACTCGGGTTTATTTTTTAACTGACAATAATTATATTTTGTTTGCTATATAGTCATTAGATCCATCATCGATGTGCACCCCTGCTTTGATATTTTGGTTTTCATTCTGATTATCTGCAAGCTGTAATATTGATGCGAATTCAACTTGGACTAAGTGCTTATCAATAATAACATAGTTCCTATTAAAGTTGAAGAAGTAAATAAGGTTACGCTTTTTGTGAAAATTGAGATATTTGTTGTTTCGCGTTTTTGAAATGGTAATCACAAAAAATACACACAATGGGAATTAATCCCTGAAGAATGTTATGGGGCCTAATTAATGTAAATTTATTGAATTCCAAAATGTATTTTGTACAATAAATCTTTACTAACGATCACAATGGGAATACTTCTATCGGCTAAATTAATTTTTGTCGATCTTGAAATATTGCACAAAAAAAAAATTATTGTTCAAATTGGCCGATTTATTTAATGGACACATGGACATGGTATCTAAACGTTAGAGTTTGTATGAGTAACTATTAAAAAAGGTACAATAAAAGGTGGACCCAATACATACATAACTAACTGTTTTTTTTTGTATATTATAATAACAATTAGTTCATCCTGTACCTGTGAATGTGGGCTGTACTTATCTTAAAGTAGTTAAAGACTACATAAAATTATTCATAAATAAATCGAATATCCCCTGAAGTAAAGTCTTTTTTCTGTCTGTATTCGACAAATATTAGTTATGATTTATATATAATATGTTATAGTTATTATTTATAACTATTTATACTTTATTTTAATTTATATATTTTTTTTTGTGTGTGGGCTTCAAATAAAAGCTATGTATATACTGTTCGTTATAAACGGTAGAGGGTCATTTGAGTTTTGCCTTTCAGTGTAGCAAATTGTATTTCAAAAATGAAATTTTTTAATTACGGTATGGTTTTAATTTAAATTAATTTAAAGTGGGAAGCTAAAGCTGATTTAAGAATGTTTAGCTAAATAACCTATGGATCCTAACTTTCCCATCTTTTTCTCTTCTTCCAGTCTTTGTAATTTCGCTGATATGTTACATCCTTACCATCGCCGTTTATCTTTATGTAAGGAAGCTACGAAATACGCTCGGCAAGTGCATTGTAAGCTGCCTTTCCAGCATCGTCATTTGGCAGACCATCTGTTTTTTCGGAACTAATAAACTTCCATGGGTCAGTGGTTAGTATATCGAATTTAATTGGTGCTTTAAACAAATATTTTTTCTTCTGGTAATACAATTGTATTTAATTCTTTGCAGCAAATATTATTATTCTTTGTTTTATGTTTGCGCACTTTCTCTGGCTCTCAGTTATTAGCTTTCATTTATGGAAAGTATTTAAGTCACTCAATTGCGAGGAACCCCGTTCTCAGTTCATGTTCTACAGTATCTTCGTCTGGTTTACGACTGCCATCTTCCCTGGAGGCTGTTCGTTGTTATGGCTTTTGGAAGTCGATGGTGACTTTTGGCAAGCTATAGGTAATTTTACAGAAAATAAGTAAATAGTATTAACTATACATTTATATTTTCCACTATCTAAGTTTACTGTAAGAAAGCTAATTTGAATTTTCCGTTAACAGAGACATTATTATTTTTATTGTCATTATTAACGTTACTGATTTCGGGATTCTTCAATGTGATTATGTTCATCCTGACGATCACTCACATTCTGAAAGTAAAGAGAGAGATATTGAAGTTTCGGCAAAATGAAGAGGCAACCTGCCTAAGTTTTGACATTGAGACGTAAGTTATATTTATTTTAAAATTTGGTAACCAAGATTTGTACTAATAATGCGTATTAAACATAGTTATCTTCATTGTATTCGAATCCTTTTTGTGATGGGATTAACTTGGTCACTGCTTATAATTTCATTTCTTCAGATCTCATTTAGTTATATAGAAACAATACTTGATATTCTCCTCTATTTAAATAGTGGCTATGGTATTTTCGTCTTTGTACTCCTTATTTTAAAACGGAGCACCATTAAGCTTCTCATGGATAGGTAAGTATCTAATAGTTAAGTCAAATCTTTGACTAGCCTAATTCCTGTTCTTTCAGCATTCGGGGAAGACCAAAAAGGCAATTTGCCGCAGCTCGGAGAACGGCAAACCCGGCATAACGATAGCTTACCTCTTCAAAGATTAAAATACCTAAAAAATAAAGAAGCACGTTTACTTTAAGGTAGGGGAGAGTGGGGGAATTTCGTCAGCATTTTTTCAAAGCTATTTTTTGTCCATCTTGAGACACGTTATCATATTTCTATTTTTATTGTTGAATGCGGTTAGCACCAAGCTTTAAAATGTGACATTCCCCTATTTTTTTAATTACCTTGGTGATTTATAAAAAAATAAAATGTAAAACCAATATACTGGGGCAATCTCGCCACACAGGGGGGTAAAATCACCACACCACCGGGGCAATTTCGTCACCTGAAAAATGTAGGGAGTTTAACGCCTGTAAATATGCTACACTGATTAAGCATACCATTTTTGTTGACGTCCTATATTTGTTGCTGCTGCTGGTAGTCTGTTCGTTAGCCAGCTCGTCAAATATAAAAATATGTATTTAAAATAGGTGCGACTTTACCCTTAGCGTAGGGTGGCGAAATTTCCCCAGACAGTACTTTTTTAGAAATAATTATTTTTCTTCCGAAATAAGGCGCGAAGTTAAAAATCACTGACGCAGAAATGCACATTATAGCACTGTGTATTATATAAAAAATCGTGTATCTTATTCCTTTTGAATTGTGGCATACAGAAACAATTTCGTCGAGAACTAAATGTAGCTTTTGAACTGTTAAAACACATTTAATATTATAGCTTAATTATCCTGGCCTTCTGTGCAAAACAAATGCATTGGTTGTGTCTGGCCGTCTTGGAGGACTAAAACAAAAAAATTATATATTTTTACGACTTATGGATTCCGAGATATTGCAGGTGACGAAATTGCCCCTGTGACGAAATTCCCCCACTCTCCCCTAACTATTAAAATTCAAAGTTGCTATCAGATTGCAACATTTTGGAAAAAATTAAAGAGTATGGCAAAAAAAACGAATTTATTTTTTAATTTCCTCTAGCACAGCAAAGCGTGTGCACGATCAATCCAGGTTATGTCCTCTGGGAATACTGATATCAGTTTATTTCTCTGCTGTGAGTCTTGAAACACTGGGCCTCAGATCAAAGCTATTTGTTCTGTGAAATAACTACAGTCAAGTTTTGCCATCAAGTGTAGTAGGTTGTATGTTTAAAATGGACGGATCTTTTTTTTTGATCGGTACAGTTCTTACTAAAATTGGCAACTAAGATATTTTGCATTTGAAAAAAGACCGAAATTTTACATTTCAAACTTTAAAAATCCTTAAAAAAAAACTGTTCCACCGAAAAAAAAATTAGTCGTATATTTGTGATCTAGGGGTCCAACACTAACAGAATTTGCCATCAATTGCTGGGGAGCACACCAAGAATATTATTTTGTTTATATTTGCTAAGTTATGCTTTAGGAAGAGTATTTAAAAAAAATGAAAATAAAGAGAGAACTGAAAAGATTTTAGCAACGGGAAGAGACAACAACGACCTGCCTCAATTTCGATACTCAAACGTAAGATCAATTATTTGATTCCATAACCAAGAATAATCCCTTATCCGTTTTCCAAACATAGTTTTGCAATCTTTTTGCGAATGTCTGTCATGATGGGCGTGTCTTGGATTGTTGAAGCAATCCTTTTCTTTATTGATTTTACACAAATCGAACTAGGGAATTTAGCTAAATTCTCCTGGCATTTCCATTTCTATATAAGTATTTTAGTTTTTATTCTGCTTATCTGTAAGCGTAGCACCATAAAACTGCTAATGAAAAGGTAAGTTCTATGTGACTGAAGTAAACATTCAAGTAACCTAATAAATGTTTAGCAGCATTCTAGAAAGTCGGAATAAGTGGTGCATTCGTGCTCAGAGGATGGAAGACCTGGCTTAAGTATACATACATACGTATAGATTCTGAAGCGGATTCCTTTGATGTTTTTTCATTAGATATTTAAGGGAATATGAAATATTTTCAACAATTTCAATCCTAACGATTCTTGAATATTTTGGCGTCAATGGAAACTCACCTAAAATACCGAAAAATGAAAATACCGCGCATGTCTATCGATAACGGCGATCAGCTGTGATCATCGGTGGCGAACAGCTGATGTGGCTCGAATCGTTCGCGAATTTCTAAGTTGTTGTTGCACTTTCTGTTTTTGGACTTTGTAACGTCGCCTCTCGAGTTTAAATAACAATAGTTAGCGAATCTAAAAAGCCATCGAGTGGAGAGCCATGTTCCGGACCCGGGTGCACCGCAATCTGTCGTGGATTTCGACGAATTCCTCGCGAACGACGACGACCCACGGGCAGCACTACCAGTATCTGCAGTGTTCCAAGCTGCCGACGCTGTATTTCCAGCGCTCCCTGCCCAGATTGCCCATTCCGCTGCTGGAGAACAGCTGTCGGCGCTTCCTGGAGGCCACCCGGCCGCTCCTCTCGCCGGCGGAGCAGGCGGCAACCCGGGAAACGGTAGAGCAGTTCCGCCAGGGAATCGGCATGGAATTGCACTCGAAGCTGAAGAACCACGATGCGGAGAACAAGCACACCAGCTACATATCGCAGCCCTGGTTCGACATGTACCTGGCCGACCGGGCTCCCCTGCCCCTCAACTACAATCCCCTGCTGGTGATGAAGAGCGATGCGCGGCCGGAGTACCAAAACCAGGTGGTGAGGGCCACCAATTTGATCATCAGTTCGCTGCGCTTTTGGCGCTCTCTGCAATCGGATCTCCTGGAGCCGGAGGTCTATCACATGAACGCCAAGAAGAGCGACACGCCCAGCTACCGCAGGTGGATGAAGGTGGCCCCCAAAGCCTTTGCCACCTACGCTTCGTATGCCTTTAAGGCGTTCCCCTTGGACATGAGCCAGTACAACCGGCTGTTTGGCACCTCCAGGATTCCCAGGATTGACAAGGACGAACTGGTTCAGTCGCCCGACGCCAAGCATATCGTGGTCATGCGACGTGGTCACTTGTACGCCGTAAATGTCCTGGATTCCAGTGGCTACATTGAGAGTCCCAGTGTGATTTTAGGTAGACTGAGAGCTGTTCTGAAGTTGGATGCAGATCGGGAGGCAGCCAGTGTTCCACTGGGAGTCCTGACCTCCGGACAGCGCGATGATTGGGCCAAAAGCCGCCAGCAGTTTGTCAGTAATCCCAGGAATGCCGATCTCCTCCAGAGCGAGGTGGATGCGGCTCTCTTTTGCGTTTGTCTGGATGGCGAGGAGGATGGTGTGTTTGATGAAAACAAGCAGGAGCCTCTCCTCAAGCATCTGCTGGCGGGAAAGGCGCAGAATCGGTGGGTTATTTTGATTTACTATATATTTCTGATTCATTCAACGTTTTTCCTAACAACCAGTTGGTTTGACAAGTCCATTTCCCTGCTCATCAGCGCCGATGGCACCACGGCCATCAACTTTGAGCACTCGTGGGGCGATGGCGTGGCTGTGCTGCGCTACTTCAACGAGCTCTACAAGGACACCCTGAAGCAGCCCTTTGTTTCCACCGAGACGGTGCATACACCCGCCGAAGGGGATTACGCGAATGTGCGACCCATCAACTTTGAGTTCGACGAGGCAACCAAAGCGGCGGTTGCCGAGGCCTATAAGAAAAACGAAGACATTGTCAACAGTCTGGATATGAATGTCCTCAAGTATCCGCACATGAACAAGCCCACCTGCAAGCAGTATGGCCTGAGTCCCGACTCCATCATCCAGCTGTCCTTCCAGCTGGCCTATCGCCAGGCCCACGGCGGCTACGTGGGCAGCTACGAGTCGTGCAGCACCTCCGCCTTCCGGCATGGACGCACCGAAACGATGCGTCCCTGCACGCAGGCCACGCGCGACTTTTGCGAGGCCATTCTGCAGCCGGAGCGGAGCAAACCGACGGCCGGCGAGCTGCGCGGAATGATCGACAAGTGCAGCCAGGTGCATGGCCAGCTCACCAAGGAGGCGGCCATGGGCCAGGGCTTCGATCGGCATCTGTTTGCCCTGCGGCACACGGCCCAAAAGGAGGGAATACCCCTACCCGATCTCTACGAGACTGAGGCTTACAGGCGCATTAATAACAACATCATCAGTACCTCAACCCTGGGATCCGATGCCCTGCTAGCGGGCTCCTTCGGTCCGGTGGTCAGGAATGGCTTCGGAATTGGGTAGGTCTCGGTTTAGAGATGCATTCAAGTTTCCCCCGACAAATTGTTCAATTGATAACCTATTTATCTTTCAGCTATTCGATTCAGAACGATTTTGCCGGGGCCATTGTAACCACGTACAAAAACCAGGCCGATGGGAAGGTGTTCATCGACAGTCTGGAATCGGCATTTGATAAAATTTGCGCTGTCATCCAGCAGAGCGGCAGTAGCAAGAAGTAGAAGAGAACCCAGTCCCCCATGAATATGGCTTTAACGAAACGAAAGGAGATTTATTTTGATGCTTTTACACTGTAGCCCATGTGTCTGAATTGCAATATCTTATTCCTAGCTCTACAATTTATAGATTATACACTGAAAACATTCTACCCCATCTAAAGCATCTGCGTCGTTTGTGCTTTTATCCCGGCAGCTTTTATGGCTTTTGCGGCTGACGGGATAATAAATTGGCCAACATATTGTGGGGATGCAGCAGGCTTGACAATTGGAATTGAAAAAGAGAGAAATAATTTATTTATTTGTAAAACAAAGAAAATGGAAAAAGCATTAAAGTAAAGTAAGGGGATTTAAAAATTGGCTAGGAATTTCTTTTAAATTGTAAAGAAAAACCAATAATTTAGCATAAATACAGAAAAAAAGAATGTAATTCAAAGCATTTAGGTTACTTTGAGCCTACAATAATGTTTTCTTAGGGAAACAACTTTCTATCCTATGTTTTCCCAAGTAAAATCAACAAAAACCGAACCACTATTGAGTGAGTTCTCTTTCAACATATGTAAACTTTGACCTTCCATTGTCACTTAACTTTAACAAGATGTTCGCCCACGCATTCGAGAAACCCGTACCCATTCCCAACTTGTTAACCCCGAAGGAAATGGGAAGTGGGGAAAAACCCTTGCATTAAGCAGTTTCTGATTAAAGGTTTTCCGCACGCTGACCCAGAAAACTTTGTTACCAACCCTTCGGGCCAAGTTGTTGGCTTTTGATTGGCGCCCACGCTCATGTCAATCGCGAACTCCGTCTAAACATGGCCAGAAAGTTTATCATGGGCATGGGGATGTCGCTAAATGTGCTGACATTATCAGTTGATTTATCGCCAAATTTTGTTGCCAACTGGCGTGGCGTTGTAAAAATTAATTAACTTGCTTGCGAGATCTCTTCCTGGTAAATATATATACACGATTGCGCCTTAATGGGCGGCATTAAAAATTAAAAAGGAGACATTCCCGCAGCGGAGAGGTCATTAAAGCCAAGTAGATTCCTCCTGCCGGTGGCGGACAATTAAAAACATATTAAACTGACGTGCTCGAAAGGATGTGGATGAGGATGTGCAGTCTGTGTGTTTGCGACAGGATGTGGGTCCATGATAAATGTGCGGTCGCCAGGATTTAATATTGCGCATACGCCGCCGTCGCCAGGCAGCTCATTAAATTATTCAAAAATGAGACTCAGACTCCACTGTCCGTCCAGCTGGCTGCATAGTTGTGCACAGAAAAAAAAAACGTATGAAAACCCAATTATTTTATAAATCATTTAAATATTTTTTCCTGTGATTTTCACCCATTCATTAATTTCAAACATGAGAATATTACATTTTAATATGAAATTATTTCATTAAGTTGTAAAAATAATATTTTTAATATGACTATCAGTGTTTTTAATATTTTCTAACTTTGTACAAATATTTTGAAATGAAATAATGCAATTATTTTTTATTCATTTTTACTATGCTTTTTTTTTCTGTGTGGCCTTATATTCAGAGGTATGTATCCTAGTACATCATCCTGTTTGGTCCATTGTGTTCGGGACATGCGACATGTGGCGGTAATAAAAAGCTCCTAACGTGCATCGCCTGCAGATGAGCTTCAGGTTTTTTGAACTGACCGTTTAACTTTATACTTTTTAATCAAAAATTCCCTTGAAACGAGGAGAACAAACGAAAGTCAGGGTTACAAATCAATAATTGTTCTTCTAATTGAATATTAATATTTAATTTATGCTCTTTCTCTTTCGTTAAAGAACGCATCATTAGGCCGGGGCATCTGTTGGCAAACTTTTTCCCCAAACAAAGGGCTATCCGCAAACTGATTTATGACCCCCCCTGGATTTTAGCACTTGTCTTCTGTTCATGGCAGGCAGCTTCAATTTGCGGCAGCAATAATATTTGTTCAACTTTGACCACAACAACCGCACGACCGCAAAGCTGTTAACAACTCCTTGGTGCGGCCCACACTGCGTATGCGTAATCTTGGTCAACCGATTGCCGCATGTTAATGCAATTGGGGCCAAAAAGCACAGAGCAACAGCACAAGCAACACTTCCGCACCAAGGGCTAATGAGCAATTAATATGGAAATCAGTTTTGGCCATAGGCCATTACAAGGTGCCGATGCCGACCAATTATGATGCGAACTGGCCGAATTAATGGCCAGAACATGTGGCAACGTGTCGGGAAATTACAATTCCTCGTTGGCCAGGGGACATAGAAGAAAAGAGAGTTGAGGTAATCCGAACTTCTCGGGAATTTACGCATCAGTTTGCGATGAATTACTGGTGGTCTTTGATACTGGTATTTAATTGTTAGTTAATTAATAATGGTTACTACTAATTTATTTACGAGTTTAGCTAGTAAAGGCACTAAAAAAATTATTCGCCTTGAATTTACGAAATTTGTAAAAGTTTAATTTAAAGAAAAAAATAATTATGACAAACAATTTCTAATATACGCCGGCCTATACTTTTATTTTTTTTATAGGAATATATTATTTATTGCTAGGATATACATTTATAGATTGTATAATATTAGTTATTATGACTAATATGCATATTTTCATACAAATATCTTAGTTATTTAATTTAAAAATAGTTAGATATTTAATAGTTTTATATGAAATTATAAAAATTCAAAAAAAAAACTATTCATGAAAAATAATATTGTGATTAAATTAAAAATTTCCTTTCGACTTTTCAATAACAGGTCATTGTCTTAACCGCTCTCAAATGTCAAGGTGTCAGCCACCGAAAAGAGATGGCTTAAGCCCGGCCACGTGTTTTTGCAGGCGGCTCCTTGGCGTTCGTCCTTGGGTAATTAACATCAAATTTATGAGCAATTCATGGAAAATGTCTGCACAGGTGGCTGAAAAAGTACTTGAAACTCAATTTAACGCAGCTCGTGCCTGTATTTAGCATTTAGCGTTCAAGTTAATTGATATTGCCGCAGGACATTTGGTGAGACATGAGCACAAACAATGAGCCAGTCCTATAAATGCCAAAGAAAGCAGAGCGGAATAATCATTTTTAATTGCTGGTAATTATTTATAAAATTAACAAATAGTCAATGAGCCAGCAGCGGAAACGAAAACTGAAAGCCAAAAGAAAATTAGCAAAACAAAATGGGCGAGGAAAAACTATTTTGTTTCAGGGGAAAAAGAGAGAAAAGAGAAATGTGCCAAAATGAGGTAAAAACTATTTGAGTTTGTTTTCTGGCGATTGATTCACCGTCCGATGGTTGGATGGCCGCCAGTTTTTGCGAGAGAAAAGAAAAAATTCAACTTGAGGTAGTCGAAAATTGGCAACTTTTGTTTATAAACATTTTTATATTATTATCTATTTTTTCCGGATTTTTATTGTACTTAAAATTAAGGAATAATAATGATAAATGATTTAAAATAAGCAATAACAATTTAAAATACATTGCTTTGAAATGTTTATAATGTTAGCCTTTAATTAATGGCATTGAAATGGTTTTTCCTAGGCAATGAACAAATAAACTGATGTGCAAAAAAATTAATGGGGTACAAACGATTTGAGTTTTATAGGGATTTAAATTTTATATAATTGAAATATTTATAGGATATTTTTTTCCTAAGCAAAATAATTATTCAACATTTTAAAACTTAAAATAAAAACCAACTATATACCAAGAAAAATAGTATTTTGGGTTAAAATACCAAAAATAAAAAGATCTTTAATATTTGAAGAATTTATTCACACAATCGGCAACATTTGCATATAAACAAAGTGGCCAAGACACTTGTTGTGTGCGCTGGAAAATGTTGCAGCAGGAGCAGGAAAAATGTTTAGGGGCACGGCCAACGGGGCGTATGAGTCATTTTTAATTAAGATGTCAGTCACACAATGGTCCTTAGGCTTAAGCTCGTGCCCTATCTTCCGCCTGGAGCAATTGGAGCATACGTATACGTATGTATATGCCGCATCCTGGACGATTAACCCCACTGAGCAGCGAAAAGGGCCAAGTCAATTAACTTGAGCCACAGCCACAAAGCCGGCCATTGTTGCGCAACTCAAGGAACAAGAGTCAAGACGAGTCAATTGTGCCTCGTCACACATGTGGCACACTTGTTTACATTGCCACATTGCCGCAGTTTTATTATCATCGTGGCAGCATCACTCAGTTGAACTCGAATCCCAAGCCAAGAAAGCGGAAGCCACGTTTTTCCCCTCTTTTTTTCCAGGGGTTAATTCAATTTACTGCCTCGTAGGCCCCCAAATTTTGCGATTGTCTCGGCTCACACATACACACGTCCAATTGGAGCAGCCATTCGGAAATGCAATTTACCACGAAACGCGGAAAAGTTTTGAATATTTCTGCCTGCTTCCGAGAGACTCGCGGATTGGCGCCAAAAAGTTTCACAATTCACAATTCACTGGGGCGAAAGTGCTCAGAGCTGAATGCTCCAGCCGGAAGGCTCCGGCTCATAGAGTATTCATGAAAATTTAGTTGCCATTTGTTTTTTTTTCACAATAAAAATGTATCTTTTCTTTTGCCTGCACCCTGTAATTTAAACTTTTGACGGGCATATAAAATTCACTACAAGCTGCAACACATTTTCCTATTTTATTAGATTTATATAGTCATTTAAATAATTTAATTCACTTTTGTAAATTTTTTTTTAAAATAATCAAACATATTAAAGACCCAGGAAAAAAATTAAAATTAGTTTTTATTAGTTTAACTTTCTTAAACAAAATAAAATAAATTTAATAAACTAGTCTTTTTATTATTTTTAAACATATCAAGTTCAATAAAATGTTAATTTAAGGACAAAGTCAATTTCTCTGGTCTCTGAGTTTTTAGTAGCTTTTATAATTTATTTAATTTCAAAGAATATATTTTATATATTCGTACATTGAGTTTACGAAGTACTACTAAGTTTCCAACTCATCTCCGTCTATTCTTACATTTCCGCTACAGCTATATATAGTTTCATTTATCTGGGGCCACAGCAAACAAGCGGCAACTTCAAAGCAACATTTGATTTATGGACAATGGAAATGTCTGAGCCCGAGAACAGGCGACAGCCAAATGGGAGTTGGTCGGGATCAGAAGTTATGATGGGCCGAAGCGAAGGCAACTGCA